ATATCGACTTCAAGTTGGAGTCTTTAGCCTATCAATTTGACATGTTCATATCCATGCAAGGGCAAGCTTCTAGGCAACCATCACCTGTTTGGACAAGTCAGGATGTTTATACTATGCCTTCAGACCCTTTAGCTATTGAGTACACATTTGATGTACCAACTCCCAACACTTTTGAGGAGTAAGTGCAAGCTGCACAAGGTTTACAAAGACAAAATGATCCGTACTCGAACACATTTGATGGTGAGTGGCATAACCATCATAATTTTGCATGGAAGTAGGGACAATCTCAGAATGTCTCCCATAATATGCCATATAGTTATTCCAATCAGCAAGGAAATTATCGGGACATGTATTCGGTCCAACCACCCGCCCAACCTAGGATCCCACCCCCCATCCAGCAGCCCACTCTAGTGTCTGATTCACTAGAATCAATGATGGCTCAGATGCTCCAGACCATGCAAGAACAAAAAAATGACATGAATGCTAGGTTCAATGACTTAAAGCAGCATTATCAGATAATAAACTCCCATTCCCAATCTATTAGTAAGCTAGAAACCCAAATTGGTCAAATAGCTTAAGCGGTTAATAGGAGAGAGGAAGGTCATTTGTCAAGTCAAGTTGTAGGTAATCCCAATGGCGCACCCCACCAAATGGGGTGTCATGAACAAGCTAGGCTTGAGAGGGAATTATATGTTGAGTTTGGACAGAAAGAGAGCTTAGAGGGAAACCAAGCCGAAAGGAGTGAAAGAGAACCAACCATAGAGTTAGGTGTGCCGAGACATGAAANCTCTTCTTTGGGAATTCTATCTATATCCTTTGATTCATTACAAACACACCCCCATAGCAACATATTCTCCATGAAAATTCCTTACATTTTACTCTCCACTTTTCCTGCTAATTAGGGGTAGAATGGTCAAATTGCCCTTAGGGAAGAAAATATCTAAAACTTAACAAACATTTTGGTCGGCCTGTCGCCGCGGCGAAACTGTCTAGCAGCTTCCTGTGGCTTTAACACCTCTTCGCCGCGGCGAAGATTCTTCTTCGCCCCGGCGAAGCTTGGAACACTGAACTTCTTCTATTTTCGACCAATTTCAGGGCAAGTATTCAACACAACACTCAATCAAAGGTCAACCAAACAATATTACCAAGAAACCAATTCAAATAAGAGCAAAAGAAAAAACAATAACTACGTACCTCAAGTGGGGCGTTACAATTCTTTCCCCCTTAAAAGAATTTCGTCCCCGAAATTCATACAAATAACTCTGGAAAGCGATTCTGCATGTCCCGTTCTACTTCCCAAGTGGCTTCTTCCACTTTGTGATTCCTCCAAAGGATCTTCACTAATGGAACACTCTTGTTCCGAAGCTCTTTAACCCTTCGATCTAAAATCTAAACTGGACGTTCTTCATATACTAGATTCTCTGTTACTTCAAAGTCTTCTACACTCAGGATGTGGAGGGGATCACTTACATATTTCTGTAGCATCGAGACATGGAAGACATCATGCACCCTGTCCATGCTAGGTGGTAGTGCCAATCTGTAGGCCACCTTTCCCACTCGTTGCAAAACCTCAAATGGACCTACATATCTTGGTGCTAACTTCCCTTTGCTTCCGAAGCGCATTACTCGTTTGTAAGGGGAAACTTTCAAAAACACTTTGTCGCCCACTTGCTTCCGAAGCGCATTACCAGTCTTGGGCTTGTTTCATTCTATTTCTGATTAACTTCACATCTTCCACCAGTTTCTAAGTCATCTCTGGCCCAAGAGCGGTACTCAACTCATCTTTTTCGCCTACTTCATCNTTTATACAAGTCTCCCACATACTTTACATGCCCATGGGAGAAAATTTTTATTTATTATCTTGCGTGTGCTAAAAGTGCTTAAATGTTGCTTGATGATTTGGTTTTGATTTGTAGCCTAGTTGACTCGAGTGAGTACGCCCGAGGGGTATTCTACACCTAATCCCCTAAAGCTATCTAGCTTGGGAGTGGTTGGCCTAAAGCTCGTTACACGGGTCCTCTAGAAAGCTTAATAAGTCATTATATAGATCATGAGCTTTATAAAAAAATAAATATAAGTCTTGACTTGTAGCTTAGTTGGTTCGAGTGAGTAAGTCCAAGGAGTGTTTTATATTTAGTGCCTTATAGCCGTCTGGTTTGGGAGTCATTGACCAAAAGTCTGTTATACGGACCTTCTAGAAAGCTTAAGAAGTTAGACAAGAAAAAAAAAAAAAACAAGTGATGAATGAAAAAGTAATTATATGTCAAAATCTTGTGTGGAAAATGAGCATTATGTTGCATGTACACAAGTTAGGGAGTTTTGCATGACATTTTAACATTGTAATATGAATATAAAATGTGTGTTTGAGAAGCTTGAATGGGGATAGGCAAATCTTGAGAGAAACTTTAGTTCTTTATTTATGGTTGTGTATGGTTTGGTGAGAATGTTGAAAGAGTTCCTTTGACTTTACTCGAGGTTGAGCAAAGAGTAAGTTGGGGAGTGTGTTAGAGTCATGAACGTGACTCTATTTTGGTGATAAAAAGACCCTATGTGTGATTAAAATGAAATCATATTGAGACAATTAAAGAATTTATGAATTTATTCACGAAAAATCGCATCCTAATATTTGCTTATGAATTTAGCATATTTGGAATGAATTTGGAAATGGTTGAGTTGATATTAGGTTGTGGTTTATGGATTAGGGGAAATTTTGCCTCATTTATGCTATCCAGGGGTCAAAATGTCATGTTTTCAAGGGGTTGATTTTGTTACTTTTTAATCATGCAGGGACCAAATGAGAATTTGCCACATTTTGTATAAAAATGCAGTGCAAGGTCATAGATTGGTGGCTGCCGCCCAGGAAACCCTTTACCTTCTCTGATCAAGCTCCGAAAAGCATCTCCGAAGACTCTCCAGCTTCCCCTTCACCGATTTCCACTATCCATCACCCCTCGTTGCTGCACGACGCTTCATCTCCCCTTACCGGCGATGTTTCAGCTTTCGGTGGCTTTTCTGCCATTTTTTGGCAGCCTCGTACTTCCCTAGTGGCCGATCTACCTTCGCCACACTCAGATCTATCCATTCTAAGCTTCAGCTGCTGCCAAAAACGCCACAATCCACCATCACTGCCGCCGCAGCGCCTCTTCACCTTCCAGCCACGATTTCGCTCACTTTCTGATGACCTTTCATCTCCCAAGACCTGATTCGAACTCCCTATCACCTGAGCTTTCCATTGCTACCTTCGGATCCCATTTCCGCCACCATTTGCCAGAAAACCTGCCGAAAAACTAACGTATTCCGACGAGTTACAACTGTTTGTATTCTGAGCTGTCTGTTGGTCTTTTCGTTCCTTCTTCGCATCATCTGGCTGTCGGTTACTTCCTCTTTGCCATGACCAGCTTCGTTTCCACTGCTCCAGCCTCCGTCGACACCACCATGAGCGACTGAGCTCCTAGTTGTCTGTTATAGTGTAGGCGATATCGAGATTGACTCTATTGCTCTCCTCATCAGCTCTCGACTAGTTGGATGAGCCCGGTTGTAGGACATTTGGTAGTATTGTGTTTCGAACTATATTTGTTTTTGTTTTGTGTTTGATTTCGATACTTTAATGTAGTTTGAGCATAATTTGTGATGAATATAGTGTCCATTGTGATTAAATGCTTTCATAGAACTTACTGAATGATAATTGTTGGCTTGAGATAATTAAATGATGAATATTATTTTTCATTACTTGGCATCGATTGTAATTGAGTTGTGTTCAGATTTAATGTCATTTCTACTGTTGTTGCGTTTATTGTGAAGTTGGTTGATTGGATGATACGTGTTGACAAATTGTATTTGTTAATTGCATACCAACTAGTGGTATTGTCTTGTAGTGTTTGTCGGCATTCAATGATAGTCTTTAACCAATCAAACTTGAGTGATCGGGTGAGACAGGATAGATTATACCTACAGTGCCGGAAAGTCATTTCATTGATTTACCTTGCCTTGTAGGTTTAGGGATCATATAGGGTGGAGGAGAATTGTCTAAGTTGGTCTCGTGTCGAACCAAAACCGTAGCAGCAACGTTTTTATTATAAAGTCTTCATTAGTTTTAATTTCAAGCTTTTGTTATTTGCATTTGGTTTGTTTAGTTTAATCAATCAATTTGCCAATTTCTCTTTCATTAGCTCAAATATTCATTAGGTCGTTAGTCTTGCTCTCTGTGGATTCGACCCTGCTTACTGCTAACTACGGTATTTAAGTTAATTTTTGTGGCCGTGATGACCGGTTCAACAAGCTCACACAAGGATATCATGAATCAAAATAAACTTGATGGGCAAGACAATCAAAGAGAAAATGCCACTTGAGAAAATGTGTCAGACAGTAGATGCTTGCACAAAGAATGGTGTGTACACATATTTCCTCAACAATTCATTGTCCACCATAACATAAGTTTGACAAAAATATCAACATTTTCAAATTGGATGATTTCATGAATAGAAAACGTAGCTGTCCTACTCCGTATGTAAATACTAAGACAAAGAAGGCTTACGGCAAAGAACATGACATGAAGAAGATACTAAATTCAATGTAAGCTCATTAAGTCCTAATTATATATTTTAGATGCATATAGATCAGTTGTTCTTGAGTTGGTTAATTGTTTAATATATATCGGAAGGCATGTCGCTAGTTCAGATTAATTATTTTAAAGATACATAATACATGCATATTTTTTACCTAGTAGAAGCATGCAAGAGATTCGATAATACATTCAGAACATACATCATATTTAGTAGCAGAAACAAGACACCATAAAGAGTACACCGATCCAATCACGCATATGCATATTTTTATTTGCTATAGCAGATCGATTCTTATAATATCAGTTAGGTTGTAGCAGACGAGAGCTTTGTGTCTTTGCCTTATTGTTAAGGTAAACACCAGCATCTTTGCAGCAAGCGATAGCCATATCAAGGATGGATTTAGGGTCCTCAATATTTGCGTTCAGCTTCTCATAGTCAAGGGTCCAAGCTGCCTTGTTCAGTCGTTGGAGTAATTTTCATGTTGATGATGAAGCTCTTGAACGATTTTTTCAGAGTTCCTTGTATGGTTTTGAGAGTAGTTGACTTGCTTTTGTTGTCAATTCTGACTTTCACCTTATTATTTGCAGTTTTTCCATCTGTAAGTTGATCAATTCAAAATAATTACTACGCTCAGAAATACTAATTAAAAGTCAACTTTCAATGTGTGAAAGTAATTTGACTGAATTTTTATCTAAAAACTTATATCAAATAGTTTGGTCACTTCACTTGATTGATATGGTGAGATTGTCTAATACATTATAGATACGTATTGTTACTTTTCAAAAAAACCACATAAGAGGTGGTTAGCTAACATGGTGAAATTGTTTAATAAAATAAATAGATGTATTGTTGGTGAAATTGTTCAATAAAATAAATAGATATATTGTTAATTTTTAAAACCACGATGGTCATTATGGATAAATAATAATAGATAATTATTCAAGAAATATGAAATATGTTGACCCATGGATGAAAGAGAAACTTTGACAAATGTGTTTGGACACATGTCACTATATCATGAGATGGTCTGGCAATATCAGTAAAGTGAAATAACGAGCGGTGTGGTTGGTTTACTATTTTCTATTCTATTTTCAGTTCTGCCATCAAAATAACTTTGTATTTCATTATTAAAAAAATACTATTATATTTTTAGTTAATTAATTTTAGTCTCCCAAAATTTATTAATTTAACTAAACACCCTTTAAAAAAATTTAAAAATTAACAAAAACACTCCTACCTATCCATATTTGTCAGATTTTGGCCACCACTGTCAGAAGGTGGCCAGAATCTGGTATAATGACGTACTACTAGCTTGGTAGTACATCGATCTATCATTTTCTAACCAGATCTACGGCTAAAGATCTGGTCGTTCATGGCCAAATCTTTGATCATAGTTGGTTGTCAACGACGACCATATCTTTGGCCGTCGTTGATGATCAAATATGGCCAAATCTAGCTGTCAACGGCCAAATTTGATTATAGATCTGGCCTTTTCCGTGGATCTGGCTGGAAAAGGCCACCTAAAGCACGATTGACCAGATCTAGTCAATCGTGCCCGATACGATGACTTTAGTCACCCTCTAGCAGTGGTAGCCAACTGTCGGTATTTAATGGATAGATGAGATGTTTTTTTAATTTTTAATATTTTTATTATAGGAGTGTTTGAAATTAACAAATCTAGGACAGTGTTTTGTTAATTTTTAAATCATACCTTGTTATTCTCACTCAACTCTAAAAATATCAAAAATACTAAAACAAATACACCCGAGGTTGTCTTGTATAAGTTTTCTCTAGTAATAAACTATTAATAGCGTCAATAAATATGATTAAAAATTTTCAAAACATGTGGATGCGCTCCTCTGTATCCGTAAAATTTACGGCAAGATATAGACTTTTACTTACCGAGGAGGAAGTTCCAGCAGTAAACAGAGCCATCTTTTCCCCACTGACCTTCGATTAAATCAACACTTTGAATTTTGTCGGGGCTGGATTTTGTCGATTCGAAAGGTGTGCAGGAGAAGAACTCTTGAAATTTGTCAGCAGGAGGGTTGATCTCTACATCAGCCTTCAGTTGTCCAGCGAGAGCCATTTTGTTAGATTTGTTTTGTTTTCTATGGACAGGAAGATCGAAGCTTTAATTATGGATGCTAAACCCCTTTGGCCTTCAGCTTATATAGAAAATTTCTGACTGTTTATCGCTAATTGATTGATATTAATTTCCTAGTTTAATTCGCAAATGCACTAGTGCCAGTCAGATCATACCACATCACAAACTGAATTCTTTAACGAAATTTAGGGAACGTCACCACCATAAAAATAAATTAAAATGTTACTATTCGCTTATTATTGCAAGAATCTGCATATTTAGTGCTCTTGGATTAAAATTTACAAGATTAAAATTAAACTGTGATGCTGCCTTTATTGTAAGATATTGGATGTTATTATTAAAATGTTATTATTCGCTTATTATTAAGCGAGAAAATCTTTATTGTTAGATAGTGTGATAGGACCCCACTCCAATCACTCAACAATTGGGTTGGGTCATAGGTCATTCATGGGCCTAGATAGAACTCTCTTTGAAAAACCAGCTTGCCAACAGAGGGTGTCCAAGCCTTTATAACTCACATGCCCATCCTTTTCCCTTCCAATGTGGGATTCTAATATTCCACCACGTTTTTGTAACCGACATCCACGTCAGCCTCTTAGAGGCGGAAACATTTGGGGTGGGTTAGGCGAGTCAACCCTAACCCGGCCCGTAACAAAAGGGGTTGAACTCGGACCTCCAAGATGGCGGTCCGGGTGACCTTAACCCGGCAGCAACCCGGGCGGGTCGGGTTACAAAATGGCAACTTGCAACCCCCGGGTTGCTGTTTGTCTCTTTTGAAAGAGACTCGCCAACCGTCGGGTTGGCTGTGTTCAACCCGGCGGGTTGACTGTTATGGAAATACGGTCAAACCCGTCGGGTTGCAAACAGCCAACCCAGCGGGTTGGCCGAAAAAAAATTAAAAAAAATAATTTTTTTTTTTTTCAAATTACCCCTTTATACCTTGAAATATAGCCGTTGGAGGGGTTTTTTCGTCATTTTTCTTTTTCATTTTTTTTATAAATTGGCCCTAAACACTCTCACATTTTTCTCACAACTCAAAATCTCTCATTCTCTCATATTCTATCTCTAATCTCTCAATTATTCATTTATTCTCTTAATCTCTTTTATCAATTTGCTCGTATTTTAATTTTTATTAGTTTTTGCAATTTTAATTCAATTTCCAATTTCCAAATTCCAATTCCTTTCTTTAATTTTTATTTCTTCACATCAATTTTTTTTTTTCAAACTAATGGATAGATATTCTCTCCATCAATTATAATGATGAAGGAAACTACTATCTAGTCCTAGTCCGATTTTACTAACATAATGTAGGAGGAGATTCAAATAGTCCCGTTTCCCATTCCAGAATCCGATACACCTCAAAATATGCCCCATTCCAATAGCTCCTGGTGGTTCTAGAAGTCGTCCTCGTAATCGTCGGGCTCTCCAACTTCATCTCAAGTTGGCGGGATCATCAACTGCGTCGAAAGCGAAGACAGACACAAATCAGACGTTTGGGCGCATTTTGACAAATTTTACGAGACAGAAAATGGCGTTCAGTCAAGAAAGCAAGATGCAAATAGGGAAATATTATAAAGCTGATTCAGGTAATGTTACTAGTACTTTAAAAGGCATGCTAATAAAAATATTAATCCACATGGAAATAGAGAAAGCAATCAACTCAAATAACTAATATGGGTACTATTGGCATATAATATGATGTATATAGGGAACAAGTGTTTATATATTGTTGCAACTGATCAACCTATTAATATGGTGAAGTAAAATATTTTGAAAGATTTGTTCAAAATTCATTTTTTCCAGGATTTAAAAGTTATTCTAAAACTGCAACTAGAAATGATTTAATAAAATTGTTTTAAAAAAATGAAATTAAAATTAAAAAATAAATACATCTGTCATGTTAGTATGGCTATACTGCCGATATTTAGTGGTTGAGACTAAACAAGATTATTTGTGTGACTAGTCATTATTTTGATAATGAATGTAAATAAATGATCTTATTAGGATTTAGATAGGATTGATCATAGGGTGAACAAATTTATAATAAAATTGTTGAAGTTTTAGAAGATTATGATGTGTTAGTAAAGTGATAAATTTAACTTTAGAAAACTAAAGTAATAGGTAACTAGATATCTTAAAGAATATAAACAATTGAAGCTTTTTCACCAACGTTGTGTGCATGCAATGTATTAATTAATTGTGAAAGTGGTATGAAAAACAATTAAGAAAATATTAATAGAATTAGAGATTTTAGCTTGGATTACTAGTAGTATAAAAGAACAAGAATGACGATCTGAATCTCTAGACGGACTGATGTATAATGCAATAGTACTTATTTAATGCTTGAATCATGTTTACCTTATGCTAATATAATTAGTTATTTTGTGGCAAATAATAGAGGTCCTCATTATTTGGTAGAAAATGATTGGCAAATAGCTAAAGTATTCATTTTTCTTAAAACTTTACCAACCGCTTTACAACTTTCTGGGGTGTATATCCTAATAGTCTATTGGTAATACATCAATTATAAAAATTCGAGGTATTTATAAAAACAAAGACAATGTAATTTAAATGCACCAATAAAGGCAATGGAAATTTTTTTTTTAAATATTGGGAACCCATTCCTTTCTTTTTTTTAGGTGCTAATTTGATATTAGAATTAATTAGCAGGTTTAGAAAATGGTTTGACATTTATATGAAAATTTACAAACCAAAGTATATGCCAATCAAAAGGAGAGGTAAAAAATAGACTTTCGAGATAAAATTTCCAGTATGAAAAAGTATGGGAACCCGCAAAGAGGCGAAACATCCAGGGAAGCGCATCAGAAGAAGAAACAGATGAGACTCTACTCTTGTGACTCACTAAATAGGCCAAGAGGACCTGAATCCGAAGCACAACTCCTTTCAGAAGCTCACACCACAACAACTAATACGGCTTCATGCAGTCGCAGAGTAATGAGCTTCAACCATATTTGGCAACCCCTGAAATGTTACCAGTAGATCAACAACAGAGAGCTAACATTGATCTCTTAGACTATTAGAGAGCCAGAAAATGTATTTTTTCGGAATTATCCAGACTTGCCTTGGATGTTTTCAATGTTCCTGTCTCAACCGTCTCATCCGAACAAACATTTAGTGCAAGTGGAAGAATTTTAAATGAAAGGAGGACTAAACTTTACCACAAATGATTGAAGTCTCACATGTCTTCGAGATTGGGAACGGTGCGCCGCAATGTCATACGAGGTTGTCACGATACTTTAATAAATCATTTCAATTAGTATATGATACGGATGAGGGAGGTCCTAGTGAACCCCGAAAATGTTGTTTTGTAAATTATAACTTGTAAATTAATTGTCAATTATTGCACTCTTTTTCCTTACCAAGTTTTGTCCTATTGGGTTCTTGGTGAGGTTTTTAACGAGGCAATAATTATTGTAGTTTCTTATTTTTTTTTAATAAATGAATAAATTTAATTATTTATATTACATTTAATACATAAAATTGAATTATATTGGAATGTTAACAAAAAAAAATAATTTAATTTAATTATTGATATTTGAAAAGAAATTAACAATTAATCAAAAATAATTACATTTATATTTATAAATGTTATTATCATTTGAAAAGTTAATTAACATTAAACTTAAACAAAACAAAACAAAACAAAATTAAAAAAACAAAAAAAAAGAGGGTTAACCCGACCCAACCGCGGCAAAACGAGGGTTTAGGCCAGCCAATTCCCTAACATGGCCGGCCTAACCGGCCCACCAATGTTACCAGGCGGATCAGGAAAACGCCACTAACAGCAACCATCGCGGGTCGGGTCGGCCGGCCGGGCCGGGCCGAACGGGTTGCTTTTTCACCTCTGGTTCCTTCTATAATTCAATGTAAGCTCATTAAGTCCTAATTATATATTTTGGATGCATATAGATCAGTTGTTCTTGAGTTGGTTAATTGTTTAATATATATCGGAAGGCATGTCGCTAGTTCAGATTAATTATTTTAAAGATACATAATACATGCATATTTTTTACGTAGTAGAAGCATGCAAGAGATTCGATAATACATTCAGAACATACATCATATTTAGTAGCAGAAACAAGACACCATAAAGAGTACACCGATCCAATCACGCATATGCATATATTTATCTGCTATAGCAGATCGATTCTTATAATATCAGTTAGTTTGCAGCAGACGAGAGCTTTGTGTCTTTGCCTTATTGTTAAGGTAAACACCAGCATCTTTGCAGCTAGCGATAGCCATATCAAGGATGGATTTAGGGTCCTCAACATTTGCGTTCAGCTTCTCATAGTCAAGGGTCCAGTGCACCAAGCTGCCTTGTTCAGTCGTTGGAGTAATTTTCATGTTGATGATGAAGCTCTTGAACGATTTTTTCAGAGTTCCTTGTATGGTTTTGAGAGTAGTTGACTTGCTTTTGTTGTCAATTCTGACTTTCACCTTATTATTTGCAGTTTTTCCATCTGTAAGTTGATCAATTCAAAATAATTACTACGCTCAGAAATACTAATTAAAAGTCAACTTTCAATGTGTGAAAGTAATTTGACTGAATTTTTATCTAAAAACTTATATCAAATAGTTTGGTCACTTCACTTGATTGATATGGTGAGATTGTCTAATACATTATAGATACGTATTGTTACTTTTCAAAAAAACCACATAAGAGGTGGTTAGCTAACATGGTGAAATTGTTTAATAAAATAAATAGATGTATTGTTGGTGAAATTGTTCAATAAAATAAATAGATATATTGTTAATTTTTAAAACCACGATGGTCATTATGGATAAATAATAATAGATAATTATTCAAGAAATATGAAATATGTTGACCCATGGATGAAAGAGAAACTTTGACAAATGTGTTTGGACACATGTCACTATATCATGAGATGGTCTGGCAATATCAGTAAAGTGAAATAACGAGCGGTGTGGTTGGTTTACTATTTTCTATTCTATTTTCAGTTCTGCCATCAAAATAACTTTGTATTTCATTATTAA